GTTAGAGGGTAGATGTAGAGTTAGAGGGTAGATGTAGAGTTAGAGGGTAGATGTAGAGTTAGAGGGTAGATGTAGAGTTAGAGGGTAGGATGTAAAGTGGCTCCACAAGCTCCAACAGATGGAGAAAATCCAACAGTATTCTTTTAACTCATTCCATAAATACACTACAACCTTGAAGGAAACACCATTAATATTTAATTACCAGCATCCTCAGATCAGTAAATATTACAGAAACCCCACCAGAGTTTACTCCACAGAAATAGATCTCAGTACAGCATCCTGTTCGTGTTTGTTCATATTCATACGATAGATCATGTTCAGTGTTGTTCAGTTCCATCAGACATGTTCCTGCAGATGCTTTTAGAACCTCTGATGTGACTCGTGTCTGTCTGTGGCAGCGGAGTACAGCGAGGAGTTCCTCTACAGCACCCAGGGTGAGTCATGTTCTCCTGCTTTCCACTGCAAGAACCTCCATCAGGAATGCTTTCAGGGAGATCAGAGTTCCTCCTCCAGGGTCGGTTCCTCTGACTGAAAACGTTCTTGAAAGAACTAAAAAAAAGTGTTAGCACCTTTGTTATTTCTAACAGAACAAACCTGTTGTTCTGTGTCCTACATAGAACACAGCTACATCCTGTAAGTGTTGCTCTGGTCTCCGAGTTCATGTTGAACCAGTTGAATGCTAAAATGAAAGTGGACAGAAAGGAACCATGAGAGGGTCGATCCTATAAATGTTCCTTAAAAGTTCCTGCTGCCCAGCATCACGCTGTTGATCATCAGAGCAGTCATGACGCAGACATTAGTGACGGTACATTCACCTCTTTTCAGATCAGAGCTACCAGACGTCAGGTGTTTACAGTGCTGCTGAGCCCTCCACCAATCAGGTAGCACACCTGTTCACACACTGTCAGCTGACCTACCTGTCAGCACTGAAACTGGACTTCATGGTTCCATCGTGTCGTAGATCTTACTGTCACTTCCACAGAAAGAAGCGTAAATGCTATCTTTATTTCTGAAAGGATGAACAGGACGGAGGCTCAGCTGCTTCTCCAGAGAGACCCGACATGAACACCTACAGCTACACACAACAGGTAAACACGCCTACAGGGGTCCGTTTCACGAAGCAGGTTTTGTCAAAACTCTGAGTCTGTTAACCCTGAAATGAAGGGAACTCAGAGTTTTCCGTTTCACAAAGGGAGGTACCTCCAACCAGAGACAGAGGCTACCGCTAGCCCGTTTCACAGAGAGAGTTAACTGAAGACCTCGGTCAGTTACGGTAATAACAGACTCTATGAACCTAACCTGGTCGGGACCTGGGGCCTGGAAGCAGGATCTGGGGTTAGCGAGGTATCTTCAGGGTAAATCCTGGGTCTTCAGT